TTTAAAAAAAAAAAAAAAAAAAAAAACTACATTTTGTATTATTTAATTTTTGAGTAATAAAAAAACAAATGGGAATATTATTTTTCATATAAATCCATAGAAATGGGTAATAAATGGAAACAAACTTGTCAAAGACAAGCACAGCCAAATCCATGTTACCAAACAAGCCGGTCCCCTCGCACCTCACTGGGACCTTTCTAGCGGCAAAACAAAGAAAAACGGTTAAAATTTCAAAATCACTAACTTTATTTCTTAACCATGGTTAATTTCCTGCCCATTCAAATTAATTACACTTAACTAACCCAGGTTAACCTCCCTCCTGTTTTTCCAACTATAAAATGCCTTCCCCTTCCTCATTTTTCATTGAAATGTATATTTTCAACAAGAAGGCGTCTTCATAAACGCCTTCGTGGTCTCCGTTTTCGATCTTCTTCTTCTGCTTCGTTCGATCGTGTTTTCTTGTTCAACTTCTTCGATTTTTGCTTTAGGCTGCGTTGTTTGTTTGGCCGGAGAAAAATGAGGGAGTGCATTTCGATTCATATCGGTCAGGCTGGGATTCAGGTCGGCAATGCATGCTGGGAACTGTATTGCCTTGAGCATGGAATTCAGGTCTATTTCCTTTTAGTTTCATTTACGGTTCTTGATATATGTATCTGAATCCGTTATTGCTTGAATCTGCTTTCGATTTGTATCTTTTCTTCTTGCATGTTTGTTTCTCCTTGTTTCTCCTTGAATACGTTATTTACGGTGCTTCTCTGTTGCGTGATTTTCGATTTGATGATACTTCGATCGCGTGCAAATTTTCTGGTTCCTTATTTTGGACATCGTATCGGATTTTTTTTTCCCGGATTATACGACTATTAGTTCTTGAGTTCGTTCTTTATATCTTTCTATGAAGTATTCATCTGCTAGGTATTTTTCTTATGTTTTCTGTTTTGTCTTTGAATTTTACCAAGATCAGATCTATAATTGCAAAAATAGTTTATAATTTCAAATCCTTACAAATATGAATAGAAAAGATTATATTGAAAGGAATTCAATGCGAGTGTTCTTTATTCTCTTTTTCCGTAAGAATCATAATGAAATTTGAATTTGACTTCCATGTTTGCTAAATTTTTTTAGCCTGATGGCCAAATGCCGAGTGACAAGACTGTAGGCGGAGGCGATGATGCCTTTAACACCTTCTTCAGCGAAACAGGGGCAGGAAAGCATGTTCCTCGTGCTGTTTTCGTTGATCTTGAGCCTACTGTCATTGATGAGGTGAGGACTGGAATGTACCGCCAATTGTTCCATCCTGAACAGCTAATTAGCGGCAAGGAGGATGCTGCCAATAACTTTGCTCGTGGCCATTACACCAGTGAGCTTTTTAAATCGTCTCTTCCGTAATTATGTTCAATAAAAATAGAATATACGCCTTACTTTTTCCTGAATTGTAATGATAATTGTAAACTTGTGTTTCAGTCGGCAAGGAGATTGTGGATCTCTGTTTGGATCGTATTAGAAAGCTCGCTGACAACTGCACTGGACTTCAAGGATTCCTGGTTTTTAACGCTGTTGGTGGGGGCACTGGTTCTGGTCTTGGCTCCCTCCTTTTGGAGCGCTTGTCTGTTGACTATGGCAAGAAATCAAAGCTTGGTTTCACAATTTATCCCTCTCCACTGGTTTCCACCTCTGTTGTTGAACCATACAACAGTGTTCTCTCAACCCACTCCCTCCTTGAACATACAGATGTTTCTGTA